GCTGAAGAAATTACTCAGAAATCAGTACATATGAACAAAGAGATAAAAAAAGAATATAATGTAGGAGAATATCTTCATGACCCTGGAATAAGGGACTATTTCTGAAAGAAGACACAAATAGGATTAACCCTAAAGGAAACGACTGATAAATTGTACTACATATAATTGGGAACATCTGCCCTGGCTGGTGTGGCTTACTTGTTTGGAACATCATCCTGTACCCTAAAGGCTGCAGATTCTATTTCTGGTCAGGGCACATACCTAGGTTATGGGTTTGATCCCCATTCAGGAGCATATAGGAAGGCAATCAATCGATGTTCCTTTCTCACATCAGTGTCTCTCTCTCTCTCTCTCTCTCTCCCTCCCCCCTCCCCTCTAAAATCAATAAGCATATCCTCGGGTAAGGATTAAAATTTTAAAAAAAGGAACATCTATTCATCACCAGACATCACTGAGAGAGTGAAAAAGGCAAGTTCCCAGGCTGGAGAAGATGTTTGTAATACATATAATCAAAAGGGCTTGTATCAAGAATATATTTTAAAATCTTCATAGAGCAATAAGAAAATTGTACATGGGCTAGAGACTTAATCGAGCGCCTTTGTAAAAAGGATATCCAGTTGGCCAAAGCTGGTCAACTTCAATAGTGTAATTTGAAATACTGTATGCAAATTGGCATCACAGTAGTACCACACATGGTTAATAAGTGTATCTATTATGTCAGCAAGTACACGCCTAGGTATATCACCCCAAATATGAGTGCACAAGTGCATCAAAGGTTATGTACAAGAATGCTTGTAACAGCATCACCTGTCACAGCCCCAAACTGGAAACTTATATTCTTTTCCTAAGCTGCTGGAGCTGGGCTTCTGCAAACCATATGTGGATTTGTCGCTGGCACCTTATGAGGCTCTGCCAGTAGGGGGCGCTAGAGGAAGCCCGCAAGGCTGGAGGAAAGCATCTGCTTTTTTTTTTTTTTTTTATTACAAAGAGTATTACATGTTTCTCCTTTTTCCCCCCTGCCCTTGA